AGTTGTTGTTTTGGGTGGAAACGGAACTTTTTTTACAAATTAAAAACTAGTACTTAGTTTTTCAGTAATAAGCGTGGAACTAAGTTAAGCTGAAATTTTGTTATTAAAAAAATTATAAATACGGAAAGTAAGTAAAAATAATCCAAATAAAAATAAATCTTTTATTGGATATTTTTTTAAACAAATGTTTTTTTAATAAAATTATAAATTCATATTAATATAAGATTTCAAGTTTTTTGCTTATTATTCTATACCACGTAGGTTGAAATCGAGTAAAGTTTGTGATCACAGCTGTCAAGCAATTGAATTTCAAAGTGTATTATAATACAATGTTGTAATTTAATATAGTTCTGCGATTTATATTTTTCTCTCGTACCCATGATTCTGAATTGAAAAGACTAGAAGCGATTTCAAAAGAATATCATTTTTTTTTTCACTATGAATTAAATAATAAAGTTTTAAAATAATTGTATAGATTTATTAATAAAAATTAACAAAATCAAAGATTGAGATATTACAATTGGTCGGTTGGAACAGAGACGATAGAACAGCGATAATAATTATTATCATTGGTTATTAAAATATGTTATCTAATAAACTTAAATACTACTGTCGTTTAATATATAATTGTATTAAAATCTATCTAAAAACGTAAAAATACGTTTAAAATGAAAACTAGTCATTTAAAATAAGCACAAATACATATGAGGTAGCTAGAAATTTTTTTACACAAAATAATGGCAATGATATATGATTTTGTATTTTGTAAAATTGCTGTGTTTAATATAATTGTTATTTCAAACGTAATTGATAGTTACATATTTAACATACTAAACATTTTATGAAAAAATAAATAAAATAAAATATTTGTTATTATTAATTTTGATAGTTTTTATTCTAATGTCTTGTAAATTTATAGGTCTTAATACATTTAATATAATATCTATTATATAAGTAGCTCTAAAGGTTTTTCTAATAATATAAAAATAATAAGTATTTTGGTAAAAAAAAAAAAAAATTAATTAATTGTTGATATAAATAACAACTAGACTTAACATTTAAATATTCAATGCAATATATTTATTTATTTTTAAAAACAAGAACCATTTTTAACTGAAGGTTTTTAAAATTATATGATAATTCTAAAAAGTGGGGTATGAGAATTAAATAAAAGATAATTTTTATTAATTAAAACGTAAAACATAATTAATTCAACAAAATTTGAAATATTAAAAATAATTTATTTATATTACAGTTGAATCGTATATTTTTATTTTATTTAATTAACGATATATTTTTTAATTATATTTTCAATAATTAAATTTAACAATAAGTTTATTGTATATCATTATTTATGATATCTTCAATTATGTAACAATAATATTCAATTTTTATTTTTAATTAATAACCGATTTCGTTAAGATTGATTTTTTTAATTATAAATTATGGTGTTTTAAAGCACCGTAATAAACCTGACCACCCATATTTTTAATTTTAAGCCCCTATATTTGAATTACCTTCTGTTTTAAATTCATAAGCACATGTCGAAGAATATTAATAATTCTGTTTGCAGACGATAACACACACACAAACACACACACACACACACTCACACTCACACTCACACACACACACCACACACACACACACACACACACACACACACACACACACACACACACGCACACACGCACACACTCAACGTTGTCAGAGATTCATAAGAAAAACATAAAATATTAACTATCACCGTAGCCTGTCCAAAATAACGATGGACTCTGCATAAACGTAGTGAATGTTTTATTTTAACTTAACAAAAAATATGATGATTGATGTGCAGAATAAAACAGTTTTATTTGAATCTTATAACATGTTGGATCTGTAATGTTCATTATTTTATAATATTATTGAGGTTGAATTTTAAAAAGTATTTTTGTTTCGCCTTTTTTACCTTCACAGCATAAAAAGGTTTTAATTTAACTTAAGATGAATAATATATCAAAATGGATTTAAGAAATATTAATGTGACGTGTGGTTTTAAGGTTTAATGGTTTTGAGTAAATCACTCGTCAGCATTATAATCAGTTTCAGTCGGTAATCGGGATCTTGAATCCGTCAGTATTTTTTTTTTACACTCGGAGCATATAATATATTTTAATATTTTTTAAGTTTGGTGTGATATACTACTTTACGCCTAGAATCATCAAAAATCTAAAAATAAGATGACAAAATCACAGTTATTTATCAATCGTCATCAAGTACGTGCCTGTAAAAGATATTTTTAAGATATTGATATAGTTTATTACAATATTACTGTTAATAATCTGAAAGGTTGAATTATTTTTTTTCAAAACACCATTTAATACTATAATTATTATTAAAATTTAAGTCAACTTACGATGGATAGTAGAAAAGTTGTTATTTGTGTTTTTAAAAATAGTTTATTATATAACTTAAATGCATGCTAAAAGTTCAAACAAAAATAAGCGCAACATACACAAGTATACAAAATATGAAAAATAAATTATACGTTATTTTAATAAGAAAGAACGAAATCGTTTTAATTTTTTACCATATTTAATTAACTTATTCTAATAAATAAATATAAATACATTTTTTACTTCTAAGTATAATAGTTTTTATTCGATTCATTTAAATAGTTAACACGGCGTGCTGGATAGGCTATTTAGGTACATCACGGTCGTGGTTAAATTTTATTTTTTCCAATACTTTATAGTATTGTAATATTATTTTATATTTTAATATTCTGTAAAAGAATTATAATCAATTATTATATATTAATTATGTACAGAAATTATTTAAGCCTATAACGGTTATGTCTATAGTCAGATTATTATCATTATATTTTGCCAAACTGCACGTTATTGTGACTATTAATATTAGCTATTAGCTATAATACTTAATATACGTATTATCATTTTTATAATCTTTTGACAAGATTTCGTTAGGTTCAAATAGTAAATTTGTTATCTAGTTAAAATAACTTTTCATTTAGTTGGATTTATTTAAAATACATTTTAAGATAAAGATGACGGGTAATATTTTGTTAGGTATCTAGTTTTATATGTTTATTAAAACCAAATTCTAAATGCCGTGTTTTCGTCAAAATATATTATTTCACAACAATAATATTTATAACGTGCAAAACTAAAAGTAATAACACTCTTTTCACGTCAAATCTTTATGTGTGTAGATTCATATTATCGTCCATATGTGCGTATTACAAAATGTTATTTTGTCCACATACAAAAACGAAATATGGCGAGTTCTAGCAAAAGGTTTGCGTTAGAATAACGAAATGTCAAACGTTTGCTGAGGGGAAAACAATCACATATAAAATATTATTGTCATATAGCTTCTTATTTTTTTTCTTGAAAAATAAAATGACATTAGACTCATGCCTGCTTTGAAAGTTTACAGTGTACGATTCAAAGTTAAAGAAAAACAAAACGATTTAGTGAAATGTAAAATAATTTGATACAATAAACAATTTATATAAATAAATGACGATTGCAGAATTTGGATGAAGCTGAAGAAGTGCTTGTCAGTTGGTGGCGATTGGGATGAATTATGGAGATATTCTTTAACGATACCTATATCGATAAACAATAATGCAAAAGAATAGTGCATAATTCAGAAAAATGAAGTCATTGAGTTGAATGCAGAAATAAAGCCGTTTTCTATATACAGTTATTAAATGCCGTATAAATCCAAATGGTGATTTATTAGTTTTTGTCACAAACTTGTAAATAACAAGGTAGGTACCTTCTTTAAAGATTTTAAAAATATGTAATTTTCAAATAACTTAATGAAAATGCATTTAATACATTTAAAAAATACTTAAAATGTTTAGTTCACGTTAGATATCTGAAAAAGTTTTTTTCAGGGATCAAAATTTTGCTAGGTAAGAATTGTTTAGCAATTTATATTTTGATGATATTATTTTAAAACTGAGAGAAGTTAAAATTTTAAATTAAAAAAGAATACTTTGAGTTTTTTTTAATTTTGTATTTTTAAAAGTACTTCCAATTTATTAACATATATTTTTACTGAGAATATGTTAATACTGTTAACTGGTATGGAAATATGTGAAATAATTCACAGTAAAATAACGAATGAATAATTAGCTGATGAACTTCAAATTATCATGTTGAAAAGTGTAACAATTTTATTTTAATTGACATATTATTTTCGCAGACAGGAAATATATTGTTATAAATAACAGACGTTCCTTTTCATATTTGGGGTAAAAGTAGTAGACGAGGATTTTTTACGCATCAATATTCGTATTTATGTTTATAATACGATATAACCGAACTTAATTATTGTTAATTTTTACTTTTGAGATAACCATACATGCCGAAATATTTGACGAGTGGCCAGCTATTGCATTGCAAATTCCAAAATTCAAAAGAAATTTATTGCTACGTCGGTCTACAAATACCGTTCTCGAAAATATTAAAAAGCACACATTCTTTGCACAGACTAGTTGGCTATGGAGTTTTATTTTATTTTTGTTTTAAGTCCAAAGACAGAAATTAAGCATTGCAAATTAATTCGAACAGAGTTCATCGATTAGACATAAATCGCTGCGCATTTAATAATGGGAGTTTTGAAAACGTTGAGCGTTCATCATACATATTTAGGACGAACAACGTTTGAACAACTAAGTCCAGAAAATGTATACTATTAAAACCAAAATAATGGTAGTTTTGGGATTACACTTGAGGGACTATACATAAATCATAACGCAATTGTGTTAACTCAATGGCTTAATATTTGACCATATCTGCTTAAATTGTACAAGTAGGTAATAACAAACATTGAATAAATATGTTTTTGTTTCAAAGATATTTCAAGTTATACAACGCCGGATAAGCAAGCGTTGTATTTCATAGGTGGAAGAAGTATGGTAAAATCGGTTTAATGTTTTATAAGATGCGTTAAAATATGGGTTTAAAAGAATATTTATCTGTACATACCGACATATCCAGGAGTTCCGCAAGCAGTTGCCATTACACCAGAATCTTCTATCTTAGATAATCCGAAATCACTGATCATAATTTTGCTGTCTTCATCTGTGCTGTAGTACAATAAGTTTTCTGGCTGTAAAAATAAAATAAAAAATGTACGTAGTTCATATTAATGTTTTACAGTTGAAATAATTAATATCCGCTATGCAGGTGAAATATTTCCGGACTGGCGTTTGAAAGATTACTGTTAGAAGTGAAAAATATATTACTCTCGTTAATCCGTTTTATTTATAATTGAACGTTAGTCAAATCGAATGTAAAATAAACATAGTAGATAAATTAAATATAATATTCTGCACACAGCTGATTCGTATGTACTTAAAATAGAATAGATTTTATTTTATTACGTATCAACTAAAATCATGTACACAGCTATTTAATAAACATTTTGATGAATGTTTAACCAAATAACTAGATATATTCTGCAGAACTGTGGATTTTCATTTGTGTTCATAATCAATATTTGCTATTCCGATAATGCAATAAATCTGCTTAAAGTACGTAGGCTGTTGTTAATTTAAAAAATATTTTCTTTTTTTTTTCATATTAAATAATGCATTTTAGTGATAAAGTAAAAGTCAGTCTTTGTCAAAAGTTTGATTTTAATTAAGTTCAACAAAAGAAAACCAACAAATACAGAATTATTCAAGAAATGTTAAAAAGGAAATAAATTAAGCACGAATAAAATTAGCGTTAACGTAGTCGATCGGTCTTTAATCTTTGATAAACAAAATAAAAATAAAAGCGAACCTAATAAGACATTATCAGATATTAAAACAACTACTATAGATTAAATTAATTATAGTAGTATAAATATTTAAAAAAGGCATTGAAATGTCAAAGGGTGTTTATTTTATACACTATGACGTTTAATTATAACATTTCAGTGATTTATAAAGTATATCGTCGGTAAAAAAAAAGCATACAGTTTATCTGGTTTTTTTATTTAATAAAATTGCTATCTACAAATTTGAAGCATTATTTAAGCAATGGAAAAGATAGGATTGTCCTTTGAACGAGTCTTATGTTATATACATTTATTAAAATGTGTACAACATTTTTATATTTAATGGTCATCAATTACACTACAATGCAATACAAATCAGAGTTAACCTTTATATTAACGAATATACATTTGAGTAGTTTTAAATATTGTATTTGGTCAACGTAATTAGACCAGACCCAAAGTTTCACGTCAAGAGGCTCCTAAATCATCATAACCACGATATGATAAAAAATATTCACAGATTTGAAAATGTTAGTCAATGTGACCAATCAACATCATAATAAACTCATGATATCAGTGTTAATTTAATACAATTTTCCGGTACGAAAGTTATACTCTAGCAACTATATTAGTTATGAAACACTAAACAACGAATAAATTATAGCGAAATCATTGATCATTTAATTACTATTATTATCCGTGGATAATAATTAATAACTTATATACGTTATTATAATTATTACAGTCACCGCCTAATTCTGTTTTACCATCTCGATACGTCTTGTAATAACGAATTTCTACGAAGAAATTTGAATATTTTTATCATGTATGATAAACTAAAGACATAGCCTATAATATAATTTTACAAAAATAGAAACGAAATTAAAATTTTATTATTGAAATTTCATAAAAAAAGGATTTAAACAACGATAAGTCCTAATGCAGGAGTGTTCTAACTTTTTAGGCTACAGGACAAAAATTATTTTTAAAATAATTTCACGGCCTACGTTTGTATTAAAAACACGTAATTTATTTTTTTACAAATGCTATGCTTAAAATGTATTCGAGGGTCTTAATTAAAGATAAAAGGACGGCGAAGTTTTGATAGCTAATCATGCCTGGTTGGCAACTATCGCCACGTCCATAGTTTCGATTTCTACGGGAATTGACAAAACGTTGTTTTTTTACGCTCGGATTTCACTGTTGTAGATGTCAATTTCGTTTACCGTAGCCTTTGCGTAAACCGTTGATGTCCAGCTCATACACGTGTCACTCGCTACCATGGTTAATGTTATCGTTTTTTTCGGATACTATTGCATACCATGCTACGGATTCGATAACCATATCAAATTGCGTTCGCTGTCTCTAGATGTTAAAGAAGTGAGGTTCACAGCTACATCATCTTTTATGTCGCGTGTCTTTTATTTTATTCTGTTTGGCTATAGTAATAATTATGGTATCATTCACTAACCATGACCTACTTTGAAATTTTCAGAGTTGGGTTGAACTCAACTTTTGTACACTACACGTCAGGCGATGTAATTGTGAACTCGGCTTTAAGACCCTTTTCGACTTAGCCTGCATGCTAGTTGTATTCCGCATCGATTCTATAGTTTTTTACGTTGGTTATATCATCCAAAAAATATTCAAAGGTCTCCGTCGCTATATCTATTACCAACTGCATTATATCACTTATCGTTATTTTCCTTATCATATTTTAATAAAACAATTTTCACCAGATATTGTAATCATTATTAATTGAAATAATTATTGTTCTCTACGCGTAAACAGAAAAAACATAATTCAAGCTCATTTCGCTGCAGTTGTTTTTAATATATATGTATGATATTTGACTTTGCGCATTATTATCACTGTAAATCCATTTTATTTTAGTTACGTCATTTTATTAACTTCATATATTTTATCACCCATATTATAATCTAATCCACCCGTTCGTAAAACCCTATGGTGGCTTTACACGCAGTGAATGGGTTTTTTAAAAATATTAATTGTGTTTTAGTTTTGTAATTTTTAATCTTCCTTAATATTTAATTAAAAATATATTTACTTAATACTTTAAAAATGACGGTTAGACGATGTAATTTAATATCTTGGATGTTTATACGATGACGAAATGGATTTTTGTAATTAATAATAGTTCACCATAATTCAACACGCTCACATGTTTTTGAAAAGCGCCAAGTTGTTGTTATTTTATTTCAAAAAAGTTTTCAATTGAATTATTGTTGTATTTAAAATACGAATAATAAAAAGTATATAGTACGATAAAACTAAAATGTTTTATTTACTAAAGTTTAATTTAAGTAGGGTAGTTAAACTATGCAGGGGCGTCATTAATTCTGGTTTTCCTTTCCAGAATTGAAAACGCGATGAACGATCGTGTAGGCTTGACATTTTAACATTTCGACGGGAAGTTTTCCAAAAAGAGCACAATTACTTACACCATCACTGTTGTGTTGGCTCTTATCCCAGTATTTATTTATAGCTTAAAATATTAATTCTATAGTCGTCTAGGATGATAATATCGACATTGATTTTTGATTCTCTCAAACGCACAGAGGGTTGACTGAATATTATGTGGCTATGGTGGCATAGAGAACTTTATTATTTTTTTTTTCTATTATTATATTATACGAGTATATTTGATGATAAATGACTTTATACTGTACAAACTATTCTGCGATACAGACAACTGTATATGACTTACCCAGACACGGATAAAAATTTGAACTTTTGCAAATTCAAATTATTGAAATTATTTGAATAAAGTTGACTACATACTCCTATCTTAAAATTTAAAATAAACTATTTTAAATCATAAATAACTCGATATCTAAAATATAAAATTTTTAGACCACCCATAATTGAAAATAATAAAAAATAAAAAAAACCTTCACTTTCGGTATATAGTGGCAAAATAATCACGCATTTTGTGTATATTTCAAGATTTTTAGAAAATATTAATTTTGGAATTACGAAGAAATAACAAAACTGGAAGTCGTGATTTTATGGTTTTTAATTAATCTTTTGTTAGTTTTACTTTATTCGATTATTTAAAATGTCCAAAATTCATAAAATTACGTTTAATTAATATTTATTGTGTTATGTATAACTTTCTATTAGAAAGTACCGATTGGATAGCTGAGGATCAAAAATAAATTAAAATATTTATGATTGAAATATTTTGATAAAACAAATATTATTTATGAAAAATGAATATTTTATCAAGTGATTTAAATTAATTTTAACAAAATAATTAAATTTTTATCGAAGATAAACATGAGATAATTGCACAATAGTTATACAGATAAATCCCAATTCTATATAAAGGTATGTGTCGAGCTAGATATAAGAGGTGGGAAAATAGGAAATTTCCCATAACTACCTTTTAGTTTAAATAAAAATGTAAATATAATTTAATTTAATTTATAGTATTACAACTCTAGTACAATAATAATATGATTAATTAAAGTAATAACACTTGTAACACCAGAAAAACAACATGTTCTTAAAACTATTATGCTGTTAATTTAGTTGTATTGTCACTAAATTATTATTATTTAATTGATAATTGTTGATGATGTTTATTATATACAAATCATTATGGCGTACTTAGTATTTTTGGTTTAGTTATCTATCTATGTTACATCTTAAACCGTTCATTGAACTATTGTTTTACATTAACTATTATATTTTTATTTTTTTAAGGTGACAACTCACCTTAAGATCTCTGTGCACGACACCCTGTTCGTGCATGTAATCCACAGCTCCCAGTACCTGGCGAATTAAATGGGCAGCATCCTTTTCGGTGTATGAACCTTTCTGCACGATGCGGTCGAACAACTCGCCTCCAGTTACTCTGCAAAAGCACAACAACATTCAGTTACATTTTAATGTGATTATATCTAATGCGTTTGGGATTGAAAAGTTTAGCCTATGATAAATAGATTTTAATAAATCATGAAATCAAGTTTAATAAAATTGTTATGTATATATTAATATACTTATGACGTGTTTTAATTAGATACATTATTACTTATTATCGGACAGAAATTGGATGTTTGTAAATTGAGCATGAGAAAAATTAACTCAAATTTGAAAAATCGTAATTTAAGAAAAATAAATAAACCCTAAATATAACGCGTCAATTTGTGATAAAAAATTTCAAAAGAAAATATAAAAACATATGATGTTACATTGCTCCCAAGATAGATAAGAATTAATAAATTATATTGCATAGCTATCTTGAATGTCTTGATGTTTGAAAAATAGTGGGAATATAATTAATATTTTAATGGACACGAAAAGTACCATTATAGTACCTACCTACTTTATTAAGTGCCTACCCGGTAGTTAAATTTTAAGTGTTGTTGACAAAACTTGAATTGGTATGACATTATAAAAACAATTAATACGTTATTGTGAAAAAATATACAATTTTAATGGCAGAATTTAGTTTACGATTGTCGATGGCTGATGAACGAATTTATAATCAAGTTAAGAAAAACAATGAATTGTGATAACCCTTATTTAAATCCATAGCGGTAGGTTACTAAAAATAAAAAATAAAATCACATATCTACTTGTAAATTATTATAACCATTGAACTATAATTCTTTATTCATATATTGGATGCGTTAATGTCTCATATAGCTCTTAAAATATTGCTCATAATATTTTTTAAATTAATTATTGGAGTTGTGTAATTTTCTCGTTTTATTTGGTAGTTTTATATTAATATGGATGTATTTTGTTGGTACTTGTGTGTTTAAAAATAAGAAAGTATGTTATTTATACAAGTTATAATTCACATTATACAATTTTTTAGTTTTAAATTAAATTTCAGTAGATGGATGGATGTTTTGTTGATCAACTACCAAAATTGATAAAAATAATATAATGTCCTGCGATATATTATCATATTGTAAAGAATAAATGATAATGAAAAGATAATTTTTAAACAGTATAATGTTATTGTTTGTACCTACTAATTACAATTATTCAGAGAAGAGAACAAACTAAAAGTTCTGAACATTAAATCGTATTAATAAGAAGTCACAAAAATTGGTAATTTTCTTTTAAATGTTAAAAAATAAAACAAAGTCTAATCTATAACTATAATCGCAGTTTTTTTGAAAAATTTTTATTTCATTCAAAGTAAATATTATACATGATTCAGAGTATTGACAGTCATCGCACATCAATTTAGAAAATAATCTGTAATCGTTATATGAAACGCTAACACGATTGAATACACAACTACCTACGTTGTTTACCAGTAATATTATTATCGGTTTAACTGCAAAATTTGATTTTGATAAAGCAATAAAATAGTAGTAAATGACAAAATTATAGTAAACATTATTATTTTTCATTGAAAATTATTTCATAACTAAGATTAATTATCACTAATTAGGTCATATTATATCCTACTCCTATCACGATTTTTTTTAGTTTACTTAATTTTGGCCGTTAGTTAATAGGTTAACACACACGCGCGCGCGCGCAAACGCACACGCAAACATATACACATATATATATGGTGAATCTATGGAAAATAAAATTTTTAGTGATATATATATATATTTGTAAAAGGTTTATTTTTTATATCACCACAATTAATTCATAAATTATGTTAATCTTATGGTGCACAACATATCATAATAATAGTGTAAAGATATTAAATTAAGACTTTATCCGGTAATTTATTAAGAAATTTGTAAATTTAAGTATTTTTAAAAACTTAACCATAAAGATGCTCACACGAACACCTTCTCCTCTTTATTTTCGAAATGTATGACTATGATATTGTACATTTTGTAAGACGTGTATATAAAATGTTCTTAACTATATATACTGATTTGATTCTTATTTTTAGCTAACTTGAATACGTATACGAATATAATAAAACAATAAGATCAAATTTATGTAGCAAGAACATGCTGCAGAAAGAAAATCAATTGGTTATATTAAAATGCTATAAATATAATCCTTGGAGTTCATGGATTTGAAGGGCTTTGGTAATATAAATTGACCTGAAATAAAAAATCGATAAATTTACCAGACTTTTATTATACATATATAAAGGTGGATCATTATTATAATTATAATTATTATCATTACTGTTGTTAATATTATTTTATTAATCATCAAACATTTTAGTATGATTAGTTATTTTTTTTTTTTCAGAAGACCATAGTTTGAAAAAAAGTACATATATTTTATGTTTTTTTGGATAAAAGAATCATAAAGTAATAGATAAGAAATAAATGTATTCTAATGTCATCAAAAATAACAAAAAAACATTTATTTCTCAAAAAATAGATTTTCTGACTACGGTATTGTCTAAAAGTACCAACATATTCAATCTTTTATTGGTTGCTTGCTATGCTACGTCAGCGACCACAGTATAAAATAAAATAAGAATAAATTAAACTTGGAAAAGAGGAATGCAAAAAAACGAGCAGATGATGATAAAATATAATAACGAAGTAGATAAAGACATTTGAAAAATTTAATTTTCCTACAAATGAAGCTTTCTCTTGGGATTAGTCACGTACATAAAATCGACTAACATAAAAAAGAATTTTAATAACATTTTTTATTTTAATTTGCAAAATTAATATCAAAAATGTAATAAAGTATGACGAACGGCTAACGATGTTGTATGCTGAATGCGTTTTAACACGTAATATTCATTATGATAATAAGAATATGATCAAACCAGAATATGATAGTAGTAGAAATAATAATATTAATAAGTTATATAGAAGATTGTGAACAGGTCTTTAAAATAATAAGTTTCTGAAAACCATTTTTTATTTATTTCTGTAGTTATCACGATATAGATTTTATACAATTTTATTGTGTTTTCTCTAAATTTAAATTGAATTATATTATTTTTATTATTAGTTTGAATTTCGTATCATACGACGTATAATTTAAAATAATATTTTATTGGTTTTTTTTTTTTTTTTTTGAATTACATAATTATACTTTAGTAAATAGTTTTATCGTTTTAAAAATATAAAATAAATATCAGGTGAATCTTAATTAGCATTGTGAAATGGTGATTTTTTTTTTAATACATATCAGTAAAAAGTTTATTAGTACTTTATATGATATTTTGCATATTTGGTTATCTATTATTTGTATTTTAAAATCCAATTTGGGCTTTTTAACAATATTAACTCACTATAACTATAATAATTGGTACCTTTTATTTGTAATTACAATTTTAAACAATCAAACTTAAAATCCTAACAAAAATATAAATTGTTAAAAACCAAATTAGAGTAAAACCTGAAAAATAACTGTTAAGCATCGATTACTTCGGTACGGGCAACAGTTAGATTATTGATATATACGTACTTAAATTTTAACGCGATTGTAAAATAACCGTAACATTAAAAATACAACTAGAATCACACTTGTGATAAAAAAAAAGGCATCTGATTTTAGGGGATTAATAAGATATTTCAAAACATTTAATGTTATAATAAAACGAATATTTCATATACAAAACGAATTTATTACCCACAATTATTATTATAAGCAATTTTGTGTTCATATTATTGTATTATATTATGGTTAATGGGTTTTTATTTTATTACTTGCGTTAACTTCAGAAAAACTACGTTAAATATGTTATTACTCACAGTTCCATGATGAGATACACTTTGGATTTGTCTTCAAACGTTTCCAACAATTGCACGATGTTTGGATGAGTGAGCCTGTAAAAAAATAAAATTCAGGGACGTTAGATCAGTCATACACGATAACCCATCGTTTGTGTCATCATCGACAATGTCGTATCAGTTGACTTATTATTTTATAAAAACGATCCTAGTGGGATCTTATTAAATGATATATTAAACTTATACAAAGCGTTATCGTAGCATGAAAGTAATCAGAAATTTCAAGTGGAAAAGGATAAGGGTTCAGTTTAGCTTTTCAAGTCGAAAAGTGAGGAGCTTTGCTATTAAAAGACGAAATATAAAATGTAAACACTGTACAATAATAACAATACGTTATAAATAAATAAATAGACACGTGATAAAAACGAACAATTGCAATTTAAAATTACAATCATTTTAATAATATAACAAGTCAAAATCGATAAATGTGTATTTCGTAATCCATATAATATAATGTATACAAATTTCATGGCGAATAAAATAAAAACACATTTTGCAGTGTGTGTCGGCTGTAGATCCACCTTGCGTTCGAGAAAAGTACACGAAAAAACACAGTCGATGGCTTTTAAATATTAAAAACGTTCAACGATAAAATATAAATTACAAAATCTAATTATTATAATCAGATTATGTATTAGCGCTTAGGTTAGGTTTTATACATTTATGTGTAATGTATATTAATAGGTTTGGATTGCAATTATTTATATATTTTAATAATAATAATGAAAAAAGATCATCAAACTTATAAAATAATATTGTATTTGGTAATCAGTATTAAATAAATAATGATGAACAGAAAAATGTATACTCAGTAATTTATTACATCTCTAGGAGGACGGATGCGTAAATTGAAACTTTAAGTGTTCAGTTCAAGTTTGAAAGTCAAACCTAGTTTTAAAAATATTGAACCGAACACATACAGAAACTTTAAAATTCTATATTTAATCTGAACTCTTAATTAGTTTGAATTCAAAAAAAAAAAAAAAAATTGAACATGAAATATTTCTGGTGATTATTTTTAAATTAATTTTTATTTTGTCTATTGTGTCTATCCTATCGACAAAAAATATACAAAAATGTTATGCTTGTTCATTATTTTTAATTTTAATATTACAAACATTAAATTAAGACCATATTATTTTCAAAACAGCGATTATTTATTGTGTATAATTTCATTGTGTTTCTGAATAAATAATGTTAAATATATAAATACACATACACATAACTTATAAAATCGAAAACTTAAGAGATCGTAATTTATGGCAAATAATATCATTAATGCAATCAAACAGAGTTATAGTTACGGGCTTTACAGTTATTTATATAAAATATAAATTTAAGTGTTCAATATTGTGAGGGGTAAAAATAACTTGCGCCATTCGCCCTAAATCTACAATTGTACGTATACGTATAAAAATATGGAAGACGTGCTATGGCTACGAACCGTTTTCGATGGATAGTAATGCGATATCCGGTCGGAGTCGGTGGTGGCGGTGGTGGTTCGTCTAAAACCAAATGAGATTTTCGATGTACGAGTATTTCACGGACGTGCCGTAAATCTCGGCCGAGCTATATCATACAGTAATAATATACAGCGAGAACATCGGAAACGACCTATATAGTGATCGGGACGCCATAAATTTCGCACAGCCACCGGAATATCGTTTACCGAAAATAAAAAATATACGTCACGTTCACGGTGCGTTCGGGTCGAGGGGCAAACAAAATATCGTTGCGCCTTTTAAACGAGTCGTTATTCGCGTTCATAAACGGCGTATTTAAATCGTCGCGCTATATATCGAAACGGTCGTTTTTCGTATATTTGTAAGTATGTATGCATATATTGTAGGTACTCGTACCAGTGGCAATATATTTTATATATTGCCACGTGGGCCGTCTTAACACGGGGCTCAGATTTTCTCTAGAACATTAAAGAGTGACGCAGTAAGCCCTCCACAAACGGTATAATATATAATATTACCCATGTGCAGAACGGTTTAGAGTACGATTGTAATATATTATGAATTTATGATATTATGTACACTCCTACCGTAAACGAAACGGTGGAAGTCAAGCGAAAACTGAGTATTTGTCGAATCGCGTAATTCGTAATGACGTAACAGCTTTTTGACACTGTTGATAGAAAAAACAATCATTATTCAAACTTTAATTATATAACCCTAGGAGGTTTATCAAGGCTTTTTTAAATATAAGAAAAACTAGGTGTGATGCGTGGGACAGCGCTCAGCATATTAGTTAGCACTATAATTTTCAGTACTATCGCTCATTATTGTGTTCACAACGGCGAAACGTAGGGCAATAGTTATACAATATATTAGCAGCACTAGATACTTGCGTGCGTGACGTATGTGCACCATCCATTATCCTTCCTCTTAAAACGGCAATCTGTTTGTCGGGTAATGGAGAACTTACTTATAGTAGGTAATAAGTTATTGCTCAATTATAAAACCTACAAAACCATTAAAGTATTAACCTAATTTAGAACATTATATCACTCTGATTTGCGAAAAAAATAACACATCGTATGTATAATTAGACTTGCTATTCGTCCCGGTATCTCGGCCGGTCATTAATTTTGTACCGGTTAATGGGAGCCGAGAGAAAATAAATTTAATATTGTATTATTTAATAATAAAATATAGAATAATATTGTACATATAGTATCATTATCGTATGTTATCTAAATTTTATCGACATCTTTTTTTTTTTTTAAAGTTCAGAAATTTTAAACACACTTGAGACTAAAAAAAAAAAAAGGTTATTCAATATGTCCCAGTTTGGTAATTTTAAAATATTTTAAAATCTGGCAACCCTATGTATAATAATATAATTTATTATAATTGGCTTTTCATTGTTTTGAGACTAGCGATATAAACCCCGGGAATACTGTATAGTAAATTATTAATTCGTTCAAAAGGTCTAAATGACAGAATATATTTATTGAAGTACAACGTTATTGTTTAAATAAACAAAAACTATCACTATATAAATTTAATGATTATACTGCAGAAAGAAATACAATAGGTCATTGTAATGACGATTAGGTTTGATTTTATATTCCATACTTTGATCGGTACGTATTCGGTTAGATTTAATGGCTTTTAAATTAAAATATCCAAAACACTGGACATATAACAATTGTTTGGTTTGAATTTACTTTTGTTGTCAGAATAAATAATTATTAAATAAGTAATAAATAATTTGATTCCAAGGTTTTAATAGGTGTGTATAGTGAAATACAGATTCATTCATTCCATTTATTTAATATTATTGAATAAATGAATATATTTTGATGTTTAATTAAAATATATAAATTATATAAGGTATATGATTAAAGTTTAAAATATAACAAATATTTACATATTAACCACAATAATTTTTACTGGTTATTATTTATTATTCCTCATGAGATTAGTCATGCAGCATGAGAGAGTTACAGTGTTGAGGACTTAAGACTAGATAAGTGAACATTTTTACTACTAGTCGATTGTATTTATAAATAGAACGCAACCTACGTTAACACTGTTAGATGTAATCATTTATGACCGGTTTTCCCCTACTCACCTCCGAAATTAAGAACATAAATGAAGCAATCTGAATTGGATTTAATATAATACGATATATATACTACACACACACACACACACATAAATATATTATATTAATATTGTAACGAATTTTGAAGGCGCACTATTATATTAAAAGTTTCATCATATTTCGTTATTTTTTTCATGCTTCCGTTTTTATATAAAAATCTACTCGAGGGAGATGCATGGGACGACGGTCAAAAGTGTTGGGAACGTACTTTATACAATAATGCTCATTTTTTGTTTTACCAAGCATTTGACCTTATTAATTGTACAGATTGTATTATACTAGGATTATATAAAATATCAAGGGTGGTCAACTTGCGGCTCGCGTCTTATTTATAAAATTAAAATTTAATGATAATTATTATTATGAGTTTTAATTTTTAAGGTTTACATTTATAAAAAAAGTTATCAAAATATAAATATTATTATTATGTATAAGTATTATTGTATTTATACATGTAGCCCGTGAACCTATTCATGTTGGCCATCCCTGTATTATATTATATATTTTAGCGACGGTGTTTCTTCAGTATTTGTTGTGGTAATTGTTAAAATATTATATATTATAATGTATTATAGTTGTAATATCATAATTAAGTTCTTTGAAATTCTTCTTTGATGTAATACTTATGATGTCAAAATTTTTGGGCGCTTCACTTACTTTGTTAAATGTATACATCTATCAGCTATTATTATAATATTATCGATATACTTCAAACACTTTTTTAGTGTTCTGTTGTTATCGACTTGTAAAACGACCGCAGAATTTATTATTACATAATATTTACATAAATTTATTAATTTATTATATATTGAAAATAGCGTTAATTATTTAAAATTATTAAAGTATAATATTTAATTAAACTTTTAGACTGAGGGTTTATTTTACATTTTATTTTACTCTATCTAATCTCATAATATTCTAGTTTTCAGGATAGTTGTATTTTTGTTTTATGCAAGGGAGTTTTTCAAAAATTTGAATAGTATTGTAAAACAATTGTGGAAAAAATATTACTAAAAATGTATTGATTTTTTATTTGGATAAAACATATCATTGTGGATTTAGATTTAAAATGTTATAGAAATATAGTTCGTAATAAATATTTCAAATAAAAATTAATGAATAGAAAACAGAATAAAATATTTTCATTATAAATTACCTCTTTGTTTAATAACAATTTTATATAAAAATATATTTAAAGTATGATTATTAAGTATGAAAAAACTGGTTTTATTAATTTATTAATTTGTAACATAGTATTATATTATATTTATTCCATTGATTACGTCAAATTTTGTAATTTAGAATTGAGTTCATTTTCTGTAAAATAACTGAACCCGAGGGTAGATTTTAATATTGGTATTTATTTTTGAGAAATTATTAAAATTTAGTCGCTTTTGCTGCATTAACGATTGTATTAT